CGCTCCAGACGAGAAGCAGTGGCACAGACTCAGGTGCTGACATCACACCTGTTAAATCTGGGCTTCGCCATAAATTGGGAAAAAGCTAGATTCTCCCTGCCCAGACGATTGTTTATCTGGGAGTGGAGCTAAACTTAATCACCATGAGGGCTTGTTTATCACAGATGAGAATCGACACTCTAAAAGACCAGCTCCGCCACATAAGACCTGGCAGAGTGGTAACAGCCATTTCCGTCATGAAGCTGTTAGGAACGATGTTGTCAGCTCACACAGTGCTTCCGCTGGGCTTACTCCACATGCGACGCCTCCAGAGATGGTTTGCTCGTCTGCGCGTGGATCTGGTAAAGCAAAAGAGACGGATGATCACTGTTCCTCCCTCCATGAGAACAGACCTCCGACACTGGGAAAACTCCCTGGTTCTGTCAGAGGGAGTCCCCGTCAGCAGACCTTCGTCACACGTGTCAGTCTTCACAGACGCGTCGCTGTCAGGTTGGGGGGGACATGCCTATCCCGAGCTGTAGGGCCACTGTGGCCTGCTTACACAACAGCACATATAAACATTCTGGAATGTTGCACGGTTCTGAATGTGATTCAACACTTTGCTCCTGTGCTACAGAATCAACACGTTTTGATTCACACAGACAACAAGGTTACTGCTGCATACATAAACCGGCAGGGGTGTGTGCGCTCAGCCCAATTGTTACACATTGTAAGAAAATTACTGTGTTGGGCACACCAAAATCTGCTCTCCATCAGAGCAGTGTACATCCCCGGTGTCCTGAACAAGGGGCAGATGTGATGTCCGGGGCGGTCCGCGTCACGGGGACTGGACCCTCCACCTCGATCTAATGGCTCAGACGTGGCAGAAATTTGGCAAAGCGGCTGTGGACCTGTTTGCGACACGGGAAAACGCTCAGTGGTTTACACTGAGCCCGCGAGACGAACCACCGCTAGGGGTGGATGCGTTTGCTCACAGCCCATGGCCCAAAACGCTTCTTTACGCGTTCCCTCCACCTCCTCTGATATTACGGTATCTGAACCGAGTTCAGGAGGAGGGATTGACAGCTCTCTTGGTGGCTCCCGAGCACGTGAACGCGCCATGGTTCCCGGTTCTACGACGCCTGTTATAGGGGCACCCGTGGAAACTGCCGTGGAGGGAGGATGCTCTCCTCCAGGTGGGAGGAGCGATCAGGAGTTGCCCAGAAATAGGCCAGCACCTTTGGGTCTGGCCGCTGATCAGATCCGCTTAGAGAGGATGGGTCTCCCTCAAGATGTAGTGCGCACAATCCAGGATTCACGTGCTGCATCCACCACAGTGCTGTACACATCAAAGTGGACAGCTTTTCAGCACTGGTGTATGGAGAAAGGTGTAGAGGCCACTTCATGTCCACTAGGTAGCGTGCTGTCCTTTCTGCAGCAGCTGATGGACAGAAATCTGGCATTTAGCATGATTAAAACGTATGCTGCAGCCATCTCTTCCTGTCACGAAGGTTCGGGGAAAGAACAGCTTTTAATCATCCGCTGATGAAGCGTTTTTTAAAAGGTGTTCAGAGACGCAGGCCTATTTCACACCCACTGGCTCCACAGTGGGATTTAACGCTGGTCCTGCGAGCCATGATCAAAGCTCCACTCGAGCCACTAGATCAGGTTCCAATTAAATTATTTTCTCTTAAAACAGCCCTGCTGCTGACTTTAACATCCGCTAAGAGGGTGAGTGATTTATCTGCCCTCTCTGTCGCTCCATCATGTTTCAGAATTCAGGCTGACAGCAGCTCAGCTGATCTGAGACTTAATCTAGCTTTTATGCCTAAAAACATCACGAGCTCTTGTAGACAACAAACGTACGGGCCGCCAGTTGTAGATGAACATATATCTGTGATATATTATCCATAAATTAAACGGATTCATTCATTTTTCTGGACTGAATAATATCGTGCATTGAAATTAAATGTGACGTGAGACATTAATTTTCTTTGACCCATCAAATGAATGCGGTCATTTATTAACAGAATCAAAGTTTAACATCACACATTTACATTAATTTGGCAAATTGATTTCAACAACAGCTTAATTAATTAGCTTCACAACCAGGAAACCATAAACATGGTATCCTTGCAGCTTTACAACAGACATTTCTGAAAATATCTGGATTAATTACTGGCAAGATAGAAGAGTTTTAAAGATGGAAATGAAGTTTATCTTGAGAGAGATGGGTGAGGGAATTTGTCTGTTATAACCAGAACAACACGCTCCTTTGGACCCAGCTTAACCAACGGTACACTTTGCGGTTGAAGATCGACTCTTTTACCTTTGCAGACGATAGTTGGGCCTCGGTGTAGAGTTGTCTTTCAACGCTTTTCAGCGTCTCCGTAAGGATAGTAGGGAACCGTTCGGAGTCGTGAGATCATCCCAGAACAGACTTCTTCATAGTTCCTCTGAACTTCTCTCGTTCAGCTTAGTTGCCGTGGTTCTCCAGCATTCTGAACTCTGCATTCTCTCTCCGCACTCTCTCGCACTCTCTGGAACTCTATTCCAGCATTCTCTGTAGAACTAGGAAGTGTTGAACCTTTTAAAGAGTTCTGTTTCCGGTTCATTTGAGAACTTCCTGATTGGTCGATCGACCAAACAGGGGTGTGTTTTAGTGATGTAAGAGGTTATTAAAAGTCAAGGAAAAAGATTAAGTTTGTTTAAGAACAGACAGAAGCTGTTTTGAAGAACCCGAGACTTCGTGGAGTCAATTCTCTCATATCTGCCTGAAAAAGTTAAACATGACATTTCTTTCAGTAAGCTTGTAGTTGACCGAAACTTGACTTTTGACCAACTTACACTTGCTCATTTCAGACAGAAGATCAAGAAAATGAATAATTACTCTAACACATTCTAACTTGATTTCTACTTTGAATGAGGATTAAAAATCATTTAATACTGTTTCACAGTTGATTTAAAATGAGTAGTTCACTTCAACATTTAAAAATGGTTTGAACTAAGCACACTTTTGATTATCACGACATTTGTAAAATAGTAATGATAATAAAAAAGAGAGTGTTCTTTCAATTGATCAGTGCAGGACACTTAGAAAGTCTCTGGATGAACTTAATTTTGTGTTTCTGGACTCAAATCAATGAAATAACAGTTCTTGTCCCAGGAAGGCCCTAAAGGTCAGGATTTGACCTGAGGCTTAGTTCACTACACTCTTTTAAATAAAGAGCAATATCGTTGGAGGGTTTTTTCCCTTCCTCCCCACAAATCAGAAGAAGAAGCATCTTTCCATCTTCTCTGTCCTGTGCAGGCGTTGACGTGTTACATAGCATGCACGGCCTCAATGCATCAAACTCAACATTTGTTTGTGCATTATAGAGATACATCTGTAGGTCACCTGTTATCCACCCAGCGACTGTCACACTGGCTGTGTGAGGCCATTTCTGAAGCCTACAGAGTATCAGATTTAGAGTCTCCTGACAACCTCAGGGCGCAGGTATCGCATCTTCGACTGCTTTGCACAATGGTATGACAATGCAGGATATTTGCACTGCGGCCACGTGGTCAACACCCTGTTCATTTATTCGCTTTTATTTATGTGATGTATCGACTCGTTCCATGACACATTCTGTCCTTAGTGCTTTAACAGAATGAATATTGTTGTTGTTTCATGGAACCCCGTTTAAACTCACATCTGACTGCATGCATTTTCAGTGTGAGATGTTGTTATCAGTCACAAGTTGTGACTGTTGTTCTGGTTCTATTGTCACTAATCAGTTCATTTGATTAATAATCAGTTCTCTGGTTATTATTAATCTGTTCATATTGATCAGCCGTGAATCTGTTTGGTTCACAGCCTTTTTTCAGCATCTTCCTTTCCCCGTTGAAAGCTTTCCGGTGCGCTCATGCACTCAGAACGCATAGCTACACAGCACACATCTGTGTATGGTACGCATAATTACGCAACGCGTAATTACGCACATGGAGAGCTGAGTGACAAGACGTTTTTGGGCAAGCTGCCGCTTCGTATGGTGTTCGAATAGACCCAGTGAGGCGAGGACTACATCTGCTTCGCCCTTAACCCACTAAGCGACAGCTCTTAAAGGGCAAAGCCTGTACGAAATAGAACGTTGGTTACGTACTGTAACCCCAGATTCTATGAGTATAGGCGTAGCCCTTTAAGCGTTGGGCCTCACTGGCTCCTAAATGGCTGAAGAAAAAGCTATTTGGGAGCCGATTACCCACTCTTAACGTAATTTATACGGACCGGGTGGGGCCCACACAACAGGTGGGCGTGGACTAAATTTTTCAGTGCGATGGTTTGCATGACGGGATAAAACCCACCAAGCGACAGCTCTTAAAGGGCTACGCCTATACTCATAGAATCTGGGGTTACAGTATGTAACCAACGTTTCCATGCCACGCCTGGTTGCCAGATAGGAAATGATAAACTTTTATACTGTCGGTTAGAAGTGTATGTATTTTGACCAACGTTGTCATATGTACTGAGAGAGGGTACAGCCAAACTGGTGAATACACAAAGGTTCCTTTGGACCCTGGATGTTGTTGGTTTTGCTCCTGCATGATGAAAAAGAGTGAGTAGTTATTTATTGCTCTGCCATTTATTGTAAAAGTTGTTAGTACATTAAAACTTTCAACTGCAGCCGGCTGTAGTGCGCATGTGCGATTTGACACCGAGTATTTCACAAGTTTCCGACGGTTCCCCCAAAAATCTCCACTCTGAGAACTGGATTCATTCATTCATTCAAACTTGTTTCCCATCCATGGGACAATAAAGGCTGTTTCTATTCTATTCAGAAACCTGTTTCAGAGAGAATGAGAGCTGTTCTCGTGTAGGCAAATGTCTGGACCATGGCAGAAAAGTTCTGGTTTCTCTCCAAAAAATGCATTGTGTAAACAGGGCCTTTGTTGTTATTTTTCATACACATGTGACAGTCACTTTCCTTAACATTAAAGTTTTTTATTCTTTATTGACTGTCCTAATTGCTTTTTTTTTTCAGTATTTCCCAGGATCTGATGAGCCTCTGCAATATCCATACCAGTATTCAGACGAGGGACAGAGCAACTCTGCAACCAGTACAGGTACAGAAGAAGTGTTTTATTAATATGGCCACTGTTGTTTTATGAGTTATGCATTAACATCACAATGGATTTGTAGAAATTGAAAATTCAGACGAAACAAAAGTTGCATAACTTCATCAGTTGATCTATGCTGGCTCCCTAGAGGATAGATGGATTGAGGGCCTCATTAAGTTTATAGATTTATGCTTTGACAACTTCTATTTTCAAAGTTATGGCAGTCAAATATCCTTTTCTAAAATCTCTTGTGTGAAAAGATTTAGCTTGATTTTATACTGTTTTGGAAATGTATGTATTGTCTTTTTTTCTGTGAATTAGTATAAACTAAAAGTCTTCAAAATATCCATTCAGACTACAATTCATAGCAATTAAGATGCTGTATAAAATATTGTAAATTGTGAAATTACAGTTTCATATGCAGATTATACTGGCACCAGCACAAGCAGCAGAAGTGATGGAAATATGGAACACAGTGGTGATTCTCAAGGAAGCAATGACACTATCAAGATGACATCTCACTTTGCACCTCATTTTAAATCAAAGGTAAAGACATAAATGTTGCTGTTATTGTTTATTTCAGTCACACCTGTGGCGTGCAGAAAGCATAATAGGTTGCATATAGGCAAAATAAAAACTTTGACTTCTCTGTCTTAAATAGATGCCTGACTAATAGCACTTATAACACTGGTATTTTTTTTTTTTTTTCATATTATTTTTTTCATCATCATCACTTCTTTCTAAAATCTCAAGAAGTCCAGTCCAGCACCTGGTATTGACTAGATGTGATATGCTGGTGAAGATTCTCGGTCATCCAGGACATGATGAATTCAAAAAGCGTTCAATACAAAAACAACTGGACTTTATTTGTAACAGAAAACGTTTCACTCCTCATCCGAGGAGCTTTCTCAATTCAATTCAGCAGAGAGTGAGAGATTCAGGTTATAAGGCTGAGTGAGATAAGACACACACACATATGTAGATTGGCAGTTCACACCTAAAAACCTAAACAGTAGGTCTTTTGTTCCTCTAATTCACAGTCGAGGCCTCTCTGTTCCCATCAGGTGTGAAAACCGGCTGGGAATCTATCTTAAAGTTGCATTATAGGTTTTTGAAAGTGGAAATCTGAGGCCTCCTCCTCTGTTAAGAGACGGCTTTTCTCTTTTTACATAAATTGCTTCCTTCACCCCCCCTCTCAAACCATCTGTGTTCTCGGTCCAAAATGTGCACATTTTGGTCCTCAAAAGAGTGTCCCTTATCTGTGAGGTGGAGGTGAACAGCTGAATTTTGTCCAGAGGAAGTGGCTCTCCTGTGTAGAGCCATGCGTCTGTGAAGAGGCTGTTTAGTTTCTCCAATGTAGAGGTCTGGACAGTCCTCGCTGCACTGGACCGCATACACTACACCACTCTGTTTG